GCAATCTATATTCAAAAAAAGCAGATCCTTCCAAGCACCATGTTTCTATCGGTCTGACTCTTCCCAGAATGCATGGGCTTTTCGTGAAGCCATCAGAAATCAGTTTACTGAGTGGGCAATTTTCCCAAAACCAATTAGTTCAAAGTCTAATTCAACAGCAACCAACAATAAAAATAAATTCATCAAATTTACTTGTATCTTTCAGCTATTTAGTTGTGATTCATGGGTTTTGATTTTTGTCCTCATTACAGCATTTTAACAAATGCTAAATTTGTATCTGTCCCAACCCCTATTAGAGCTAAGGGACACAGAGAAGGAGAGGCTGAGGAAAGAGAGACAAGAGAACAGAGAATTACAAAGGGGAAGATGCAGGTTAGGAGAGAGAAATGCTGTAGAAAAGGAGAAGCATGTAACTAAAAGATATAGGTTCCAAATACGGAGCACTTTAAACTCTATTTTTCAAGAATATATTATTTTTCCTGAAAGTAGAGGATTGCTATACTTCTTGATATTCAAGAAAATATTGCAGAATGTATTAAATTTATGTGAATAATATTTAACAACACAATATCCTCATGCAAAATAATATATGCATGAGCATTTTCGTGTTCAGTAATTATCCCCATGAAATATTTTCTTAAAAGCCTAAGTCTTCCAAGTCTCCGGCTCTCGTCCCTCATCCTCCAGGTGGTGGCCACAGAAGCAAGGGTGGAAACATACTGTCATATACAGATGACAGCAAAAACAAAAAGTTGTCCATCAAAAATAGTTTTTGAAAATGCAAGTTAATGAATTTGCATTAAACACATTTGCCTTTGGCAAACAACCATTCCATGAATTGGCTTCCAGGAGTTAGCCTGCTTTTAAAGGAGCAAAAAGAGCTAATAATGGATGTGTTAAGATGGAAGTTCAGACACTGGAGACAATGTCAGAAATTCTACCTTTTACTTTCCTAAGAGAAAAACTTGACAAATGGTCAGTCACATACTTTTGTTACTCTAAATCTCTTTAAGTGCTGTGGTTAGAATGTGATACCTGCCATGCCCTGAGCCCCACCCACATCCTCACCTACCTACCACTTCACTATGCCATTCTTTCTTGCTTAAGTGGATGTGATTTGAGATTCTTCTTAATATATGCCATAATCATTGTACTTTTTTGACATGTATGTAATAATAAATATAAGTGCCATCCTCAGTTTTCCAACCATATTAGCACATAAGTGTGAATAGTGTGTGATTCCCCCCAAATAGATCAAAGAATAAATATACAACAATCTTTTTTTTTTTTCCCCTTGGTACTGGAGATTGAACTCAGGGGCACTTAACCACTGAGTCACCTCCCCAGCCCTTTTTTATATTTTTATTTAGAGACAAGTTCTTTCTGAGTTGCTTAGGGCCTTGCTAACTTGCTGAGGCTGGCTTTAAACTTGTAATCCTCCTGCCTCAGCCTCCTGAGCTGCCAGGATTACAGGTGTGTGCCATCATGCCCAGCAATACAACTATCTTAATGAGAAAACATAATTCAGAGACAAGAAATATGTGCCTAGCCCCAAACTAAAGGTCTTTGTATACCTAAAGAATGCATCAGTGAGGAGAAGGGAATGATTGAAAGTGATCTGAATTATTGATGATGCTGCTCTCAGATCAAGATGCCCCTCCCAATGTCTCCATCTGTGTGGTCCTAAAGGCAGGTATTGCTCATCTGGTACATATGGGAATACTATATTGTCATAACTTGACTCATTTAAAATTCACATAGTGGGGGCTGGGGATGTGGCTCAAGCGGTAGCACGCTCGCCTGGCATGCGTGCGGCCCGGGTTCGATCCTCAGCACCACCTACAAACAAAGACGTGTGTCCGCCAGAAAAAAAAAATAAAAAAAAAATAAATATTAAAATTCTCTCTCTCTCTCTCTCTCTCTCTCAAAAAAAAAATAAAAATAAAATAAAATTCACATAGTGGATTTGATTTGATGGCCTCTGCTCTTCTTCCATGTTTAAGCAACATTTCCTAAACATATTTTCATGTCTTAAGTTATATGAACCTCTTAGCAATATGTCTCTTTCTACAAACTCTGCTTTGTAACCCTTCTTCAACATCACTACCTATTGTTGTTAATCCACTTATCTGCTGTGTGTGCTAGTGTATCCATTAGACTACTTGGTTTTACAATTATATCACGAGGTAGGTACCCTCATTGATAAAGGTAATGAGTAAGAATACCCTCAGAACAATTCAACTGGACTAGAACTTTGTCAAACCAACCTGTTTGACTCCTGAGCCTGCAAGGGCCCAACTTCTGCACACCACACTCTTCTGAGTCTCATCACTAATGAGTGACTCTTGGAAGCCAACAAGACCAGGAATCAGAGCCAGGTCCTGAACTGTGAAAAATCCACACATCCGGGAGTGCCAGGCAGTCTCTCCTGCCTAATTGATCAATAATGTCATAGCTGTATAAACTGCATGCAACTTCTTGATTTTATTGTCAATTTTGAAAGGCAGATTAGCATCTAATAATAAGAATCCTACATCTATAATTAATAGTTTATACATGTACACCATTTTAGAAGAAGAAAAAAGCTGACACTGTTTTTTTATTCACAGAACACCTTCTATCTTCTCAAAAAAAGTGTTGGTGCTATTGCCTAAATACCTCACAGATGCAAATGAAGTGACCTAGACTCTGGAGAAAAAAAAAAAAAATTGGGGACCAGAATAATTTTTTGGCTCGGGCAAGGAATTCTGTTCTACCTTCTTTCCAAAATATAAATAAACAAATGAAGCCAACCCCAAACTGAGTAACCCAGAAGTCCAGCTGGTAAAGAAAACCAGAAACTCCCAAACTGACAGGAGTAAACATCAAGATGAAAGTCAAAAGCAGCACTAAACCAAAATAAAACTAGAATCACAGCAGAAACAGACCTCAGATGGACACATGGTAGCAATCTTAATTTTTTTTTCCATCTTAAAGACTTCTTTTTTTCCCCCCCAAGGAATGTAAATCTCTTTCTTACACAATTTGTGAATCGTTGAGCCAATACTTGGATGGCTGGAGTCGGGAAGTTTAGAAGGCAGGGAAGACAAATTAAGGACTTAGCTCTTTCTCAGTGAAGAGGGGACAGAAGGCTTCACAGTGGGAGCCCTGATGGGTACATAGGATAATTCTCAGAATATTCAGTTTATCGAAACATCCTGTTCTTGGGTAAAATAGTTCTTTCCTGAAACAAATATTCCTGACCTTGGGAAAGTATTTAATTTACGATTGTTATGTACCAAAGGATGTGTTTTTTTGTGTGTTTGCATCTGTGAAAAGAGAGCAATGAATGATGCTGGGAAATTGTGGGAACACAATTCACTTGTGGGAGTGCTTCCAATATTTTAAAAAGCTCAAAATTGGCCTAAGAGGACAACATGAGAATTTACCTTAACACCACTTAAGTCTCAACAAAAGAAGAATAACAATTAACATAGGGAAAGGAGTTTCTTTCAGAACACAGGAAACTGAGTCAGAGAAAAATAGGGGCCTTAGCTTCCAGGTTCCAATTTTGGTACGAATGAGATCATCAGGAAAGAAGGGCAATTAAATGGCACTTTCATTTGAAAGAAAGATCACACAGCACCCTATATAATTCACACTACAATCTCGCCAATTACTGAAGACTCAAAAAATTAAATAAAAGTAAAATATCCAACAAACAAACATCAAAAAGTGGCACAGCTCTGAAAACACAGCAGGATCAAGAGGATCCTTAAGATGTATTTTGAGCCAAAATAAAGAAACATATTAATGGAAGCAGATAAGAATTCTGGGACCCACAAGATCAGATCTACCATGCCACCAGCTTGCAAGGAAAGAGCCTTTCTAGAAACAAATTGACAACAGCCCCACTGGAATTCTTTGGATTGGAAATGGGAAGTCAAATTTTAATGTACATTTGTTAAGTGTAAACGTAAACCCTTGCCAGAGAAAAATTCTAACCTGGTCTCATTGGAGATGGTTGGGACAGTTGAAAATGGCATCATCATCTGTAAGATTATGCTGTTCTACAGTTAAATTTCTCAGTACATATTGTTCCTGTATTGAGTCAATATGTTTGAGCCAAGTGTCATTCATAATCAGCATGCCTTCATATAACTATTGGTAACTTTGAATTTGTTGGCAATAGTTGAGAGCTATTGGCCTCTTTCCCTGCTCTCATAACCAAGATGCAATGAAAATGTCTAAAACCAAATTTCCATCACACAGGCAAACATTTATCCCCAAGCAGGTGTAACAATAGTTTGCGATCTAGTGAGTACTCTGAGGAAGTTTCAAATCTATGTTCTTTAAAGAGCTCTGACAGCACCCAAAAAGAGAGGTCTCCTCAGGACAAATGCAACCATGTCCTATTGGCAAGAGTCAACCATCCCTGCATGTGCCAGGCAACAGAGAATCCCAGGAATCTGTGCCTGTGCGTGGGCCATTTTGTAATCTAAATTTATGGGTCCATTCCAAAGTTTATTATCTAGGTTTATTAGACTCTTAAACCCTATTCAGATGAGGGTGAGAATGCCTATAAAGTGCCACATCTAAAATATAGGATAAAGCAAAATAATACAATATTATGCATACCACACCATCTCTATCAAAGTGCTTTAAATGATAAACAACCTAGGCACCAATCCAATGTCCATCAACAAGAGAACAGACAAAAAAAACAATGTGATACAGTCGTATAATGGACTATCCCAAGAAGAGAAAGCAAAAACCAACTGATAATTGCAATGTGAATGAATCTCTAAAACATGATGGTAAGTTTAAAAAGCCATGAAAAAGTGTGTTTACTGTAAGATTCCATCTTTATGGTAGTTCAAGAATAGGCAAATGGTTTATGAAGATAAAAATCAGAATGGTGATTGACTATGAAAGAGAGGGAGGAGCTTTGACAGCAGACATGCAAAGCACTGTATTTATAGGTGTATATACACATCGAATGCAATTATACCTCAAAAAAATCACAAACAAAATGGTACAGATCTATTTCCAAAAGAAGAACCTCAGGGTAGTTCAGGGGTTGCAGTGTTGTTAAAGAAGGAAATGTTCATTTGATCTCTTGATAGTGGTGATACCAAGTCCTGAACTTGTCTAAGCTGCTCCAGGGCCTCAGGCACTGCAAACTAACTGCTTTGCATGATTCAAATCAGCAAATTCAATCAACAGTTTAGAAAGTCAGAATTTTCATTATTCCCATTGTATCCTTGGTGCAACTGATGCCAGAGAGGTTGGTGTTTCATTCTAGTCACAGCCTAGTGAGTGACAGTGCTGGTCATCAGGCAGGTGTCTTTATTCAGCTCCAAAGTTCCACAGCTTACACTTCAGGCTATTTCCTGCTTTCATCCCCCATCTCTGTGTGACTTCTGGGTTGCGGAAAACTAGAAGACAAAACTATTAGGCCAAGATCAGTGAAGAGTCAATCCAGAAATGAAGTAAAGGCAAAAGGAGAAAAGACTCATTTTGATTTCTTTTGTGGAAATGAATACAATGCACTCTGTTACGTGGACACTAGGAATTATCATCAAATGCAAATTTAAATTGGAAAACAAATTTTCTTTTTTCTTTCTCCTCTGCATTACAATACAAGTCTTTTCCTGAAAATCTGGGATTGGTAAAAAATGTTTATTATCATTTAGAAAGAAGTTAATTCTGATAGGAGATGAATTTCCACTACTAAGATTATATATCACCTATGACATGTTCCCCTAATTGGGTCATTGTTATTTTACCTCTTTGGTTGTAACTCCAGTTTTGCTGCATCTCCAGATGTTTTATTAAAACATTCCTAAAATCTGTAGTTAGTATCAAATTACAGTTCAGAAAAACAAAGTCATTTTATTTTTTTTTTTCAAAAGTGGGTCAAATTTTCTTTTTAAAGAGAAAAATGCAGAAAAAGTCAGAACAAAGGAATGATTTTGTGAGTTCCTTTATTTTATCTTACTTTATATTTCTTAAAGGATCTTCACTCTGACTGAGAAACTAAGCACACAAGTACACTATTGAAAACAGTCCTGACTTGTCCAGTGCTGTGTGAGCTGATGGTGACCCTTGGAGATATAACTTCACTTCATTCTTGTCTAAGGAACAAATGATAATGAGGATGCTTCAGTGGGAGCATATATTTTGTAAGAGTTTTAAAGATTTTAATTTTATTATTAGGCTAGATATAAGAACAATAGCCTTTTTTCTGCCTTTTCCTTCTCTGTCGCACTCCTCATCTTGCACACATAAATCAAGTGCTTTTACATACACCCACAGCATTCTGAACCATTCAACATCCACAGGGACAACTGGACAGTATTAGAAGAGCTGGCTGTGTCCCACCATGTGCAGTGTTAAGCTAACAGTCTATGCCTGCAGGTGGCTGCTTGCAAAGCAATTAAGCCCTATACCCATTGGGAGGGCTCAAGTGTACCTAATTAGATGGTCCAAGATCTTATTAATACTAGTAATTTTCCACCTGCAAAAAAAAAATGGACAGCATAAGCCAGAGGAAGTGAAACATATGGCCAGATGTCCATAGGCTATGGTAGCCATTGCTGTTTAGTAAGGAGAAGTATTGAAACCAGAGTCCATTATATTTAGGAGGAGTTGGATCATCCCTGGCTCATTAAAAAGGATTTTTCTCAGCAAAAAGAAAAAGCTCATTTCCTACATGGGATTTTTGAAAAATACAGTGCTTAGTCCTTTCAAAGTGAATTGTGACAGTTTAGTGCAAGGAATACAGGATCTGGAATGAGTCTGACCTACATTCTAATCATATCTTGAAGGTGTTAGCCCACGGATAAAGAGTGGAGTGAGGAGTTGAACGTGGATTGCAGGATACTAGTTTCATGCATTTTCTTATTACATATAAAGTCAAGACACAACATGATAGAAAGATTATGTCATAGAAAATTAATAATTGAGACCTTGGTGCATTCCAATCTGAGATAATTAACTTTCTAGAAAACACAGCTTTACAAAAGTAGGTCATATTATTTTGTAGTAGCAATTTAGACAATCTTTCTGGGACTGTGATGTACCCGGAGACATCGTGCTCAGGCACAACATAAAGAGTATTTATCATAGTCCGTGCTTTGTTGAAGTTGCATTATTTTTCTGTTAGGGAAGAAGTAAAAGTCACTGGAATATCAATCTCAAGTGGTTTATAATACAAATTGGAAGAGAAAAGCAGGAGGCTTTGAGGGAAAGAGGTAGGTCAAGGAGTTAAGTGTTTATGGCATAATCAGATAGGATATGGAGGGGGACAAATGAGGACAAAGTGACCCACTCTAGTGTGTCCCATACCCAGGAATCATGGGTGTCCTAGATGACAAGTGAGTCCTCAAAGCTTGAGCCAGACCAGTTGTTAGATGCACCTAACATTAGAATAGTGGGTCATCAAGTGCCCTGTTAGTTGCAGCCTATTTAAGAGTCCAGCCTCCAGAGTCAGGTGCCAGAATCCTTGTTCCATCACCTACTAACTATGTCCAATGCAAGTTACCTGCTCCCTTGAAGTTTCAAATAGCCATGATTACAGCGTTTCCTTCGCAGGCTGATCAAGTAGGAAAATCCAAGCCAAGTGTTGGGAGGAAAGTAGGTGCTCAATATTTGTTAGCTCTGAAAATTTGGCCTTGGACATCATTATTATCCCATATTCTGCTCTATACTTCATCAGATAAAATACATTCCTAAATGATGTTCCAACATGCTCTAAAACAAGAAAAAGATAATGAAAAAAATGGTGACAAAAAAGGAAACAATGCTCAAGATGCAGCCAACACTGATATATTCCTTTAAACAAGGGTATTCATCCCTTATCTCCTTTCTAATTATTAGTCAAGGCATAACTCAACTCTCCACTTGGCCTTGATAAAACTCCCTCCAATTACACAAATCAGAGAATTAATTCTCCTTTTCTCTAAGTTCCCCAAATGCATTGTGTTTACCCTGCTTGCCAGGCTTATCACTTGCTGCTCCACACTTTGGTTAATTGCAGGATTCTCACCAGCTAATTTAGGTAATTTTTAAGGACTCATCTCTAATTTCAAGTAGAGTCTAATGCTTTTAACCTAGTAATTCCATAGATGCCTGTTTAGCATTGAAATTAGTAACTATTTTTATGAACAAACACACACACACACACACACACACACACACATACACATGTGCAAACACATAACTCACTCATTCAGCAAGTTCGTCCAAGAAATGAAAATGTACCTATAGTTCATCTCACAATGCAAGTTTTGGTGGGAAACAATACATTATTCTAATAAGTAAAATATCTAGAGCCAGTCCCACCCTCTCCTCAGTTGACCTCAAAGAAAAGACCAAGGGAAGAATAGTCGTGTGCATAGAACTGTATTATTGAGAGGAAATTCCACTTGCTCTTTGTTGCCCTCTGTTTTGAATAAAGCAGAAAATGGGAATCTACCTCACCAAGGAGGATTGGAACACGGAGTTAATAACAAAGTTCTTTGCAAATGAATGTTTTAAAAAAACTTCTTTTTCACAAAAGTCCTTGTCAAAAGCAATGGAGTTGGGTCTACGAGCCACTCACACAAATAATTCCTGTGCAAATATAATTTTGAATTTTAGTTGCGCTAAAGTTTATCTCCAAAACCTTTAGCATCTGAGCTACTTCCTACAAATTCTTGGGAGATACACACACACACACACA